TCTTACTCTTCCATTCACTATTTGATGTTGTTATTTCCCAGACTCTGTCCTCTACCATCTCCTCATCTTACTCTGCATCTCTGGGCTATCTCATTTACTCTATTCATTGCTTTAATTCTCATGAAGTTGTTAGAAGCTTCCAAATATAAATATCTAATCTAGACATCTAGATTAAGCTCTAGACTTGTAAATGCATTCATTCATTCAAAAATATTTTATTGAATGCTCTCTACATGCCGGAAATGGTTCTGGTTGAAAGAGACCGAGTGCACCTGGTTCATGATTGTTTTTATCACTTACAATCTCCATCTAAATGTCTTACAAACATTTGAAGCCCAACAAGTCCAAATCTGAACTCATTATATTGCCCTGCAAATGTGCCCCTCACTCTTTGTCCCATATATTAGTGGTTGGGGGTACTTCCATTCTCCATATCATCCAAGTCAGAATCATCCTTCTTACACTACACATCATACTGGTGAAAATAATCTGCCTAGTCTACCTACTTATCATTTCCTTACTTAAACTACTCCTTCTTGTCCCCATGGTTACTAAGTTCCTTAGGTAAGCATCTCTCATGGCCTTTCTAGAAAAGTCCATGATACATAATAGATAGTCAACAGACAATCATAGAATGAATTTATAAATAAAAGAATACAAGAATAAATGGAAAACTTGAACAATTGCTATCATCTTTTTACAGGCCATACAAACTCCTTTCAATCTATTTACAGAGTCAATGAAGGACAAATCTTCCCCAAATTTGTATCTGATTACATCATTCCTTTGATGATAACCATTCAGTGACCACTATTGCCTACCCGATAAAGACTGGATTTCAGGGCCGGCATCTGAGGCCATCCAAGTACAGGTATGTATGCCTTCTGTTCTACCCTCTTTTCATATGGCTGTCCTCACCCTGAAAATGTTTAACAGTGCCTAGAATTACTATGTTGATTCACAATTCCATAGTTTTCTCTAACAGGATCACTCATTTTCCCCTGCTTTTCCCATCTGAAAATTAACTTACTCATTTGTCAAAACTCAGTTCATGCCTCACTTCCTCTTTGAAGCCTGTGCTGACCTTTCTTCCTTCTTCTCTACTTCCTTCTCTTTTCCCATGAGACTTTGTATTTACCTCTGTAATAGCACCAATAACATCGTTTGACATTTGATCACAAGCTTGTAGTCATTCCATCGTAAAGTCTTTTCCCTCCTTGAGACTGGAGACCACTGACTTGTTAATGGGGGATTAGCACATAATAGACACTCAAATGTTTGCAGATGGATAAATGAATGAATGAATGAATGAATGAATGAATGAATGAATGAATGAATGAATGAATGAATGAATGAATGAATGAATGAATGAATGAATGAATGAATGAATGAATGAATGAATGAATGAATGAATGAATGAATGAATGAGTAGATGGTAAAGTATCATGGAAAGATCTTAATCAAGGAGATGATATGATAAGGTTTACATTTTAGGGAGAACACTACGATGTCAAAACAGAGCTGTAAGGCTGAGAACAGAAGCTAGATGATTAAGTAGGAGAATATTGCACATAATCCAATGGAGAGACATTGAGAAACAGAGATAGTGGCAGTCACAAATGAGAAAAGAGAATAGATTTGAAAAATTATTTATAAAGTGAATTTAATGAACATTTGAATGGCCAGCAGGAGCAAGTATGAAAAAAATGAAAGCATCAAGGGTGACTTCCAGGTTCCTAGCTTGGGCGAATGGACTAGTTTTCCTAGTTTAAAATATCTATAAATTCCAATCCATGGCCTTACGTCAGACAACGATTCGCTAGACAAAGTGATATGTTACATGTATCTGCCACACTGTTTCCCACACTAATCCCCAGAACCACATTTGCTGCAACAAAGCAAATTTATATATGGAACCGCATCATGTGTTCCTCAACCACCATTATTCTTCTAAACTTTTCCAAAAAAGAGGAGAAATTAAAAATAGACGAACAGCATTCAAAGAAATACGTCACCTCATATTTGAATAGCTTGTCTATGAACTGAAGAACAGTCGAAGAAAGGAAACAGAAAACCAGAAAACATAGCTGTCTGGCAAATCTAAAAGAACTGTAAGGGAACAAACACGGCTAATTTCCACTAATTTATAAAGACTGGCAGAAGGTATTTGAGGTAGGTCATATATTGTTCTTGTCAGCCATCTCATCAGTAGGCTATGATACATACATTTGACACCACATTTTATACCATTAAAATACTGTTATAGTAATGATTCCTGCATATTTAACAAAAATTTTTCTTTACTTGAAACATAACTTTACACATACTTTTCTTGCTTCTTGGCAGTGAAAACATGGGTCTACCAAGTAAATCCATCCCTGAAGTACCTCATTAATCACAGTGCACTTGTTCTTGGCAAGAACCTTAATGCGCTACAAAAACTGTTATTAAAGTAAGATTTGGGGATTCCCAGGCTGGCAGGGAATTAGTTAGTTACACCCCTCTAGAAATTGTTTTCTTATAATTCCCTTTATTATTAATGATCTCGTTAGACTCACAGCTCAAAATAACTTTATTAATTTAATGTGTAAAATCCAGCTATTCTAAAGCTCACTTAAAATCATAAATAGCAATTGCCAAAGTGGCCTGTCCCCGAGGGTTGGCTATAGTTGCACGATCCTCCCAGAAAACGATACTATTCATTCTCTCTTTGTGTTAATGTGGACCTAGAACCCCTATCCAATTGCTCAAACATTACAATGTCAGACTCTAGAAACATATAACACAAAACTTCACATTAACATATTATATTGAAAAGTACATAATTAATTTCATATCTACCACTAAAGACATTGATAGACTGATTAAGACTGGTGAATTATCCAAACTTGAACACTTGAAAAAATCATTTGTCAATATTTAGAAATTCTGTAAGGCCATAGAAACCCATTAAACACAAACATATTGGGGGAAAAATGTTGCATTACAAGAACCCTCATTCAAGTTCAAGGGAAACACATAGGACATATAAAATATGAGCACCGGCCAAGTTTGTCTCTAACCCTCTCTGAATATACAATGCATAATTTATCAAAAAATTAGATGCCATAACTGGCATCATACTGTAAATTCAAAGCTATGAGTTTTTCGAACATACTCTTGTAAAATAATATCATTTTTTTTACAAGCATGTATTTGCTGCCAAAGTGAGCACAGATCATTATTGCTAAATGTTTTAGTAGATCTTGGCAAATCAAAATAATTTATTAGGCTCATTAGGTAAGAGGATTAATTATATATTAACTCAGAAGGGATGAACAGGAAAAGTATCAGTAGTGTTTCACTATGACTATCATTACAGTAACACATCTAAATCAATGTGAATCTTACATAAGTAAATAATAAAGTTATACCTTTTGATGTAATAATAATGCAACACAACTTTCTCCCTGTGTACATTGTGAGATGGAAAGTTGGCTGGAATAGTCTACCTAATGCTACATGTTCACATCAATCTGGGACTGTAAAATTTTCCAGACACCAGAGCCCCACAGATTGTAGACTCCACCAATTTCCTGACTCCTACGTGGTCAAATTCCAGGTTCACCTATTTACAAAACCAGCCCCTTCTCTGTTATTTCAAAAAATGGTTCTGGTGTTGTCAATCTTCCATCCTAGGTAAGAGCTACGTTTGAATGGCACACCTCATTTCTAAAAGAAACCTAGTTCATGTGTCAACACCAATTTACTGGGAAATAAGGAAAGTATCAGTGACTGTAACTTTCTCTACTGGTTTCCTAAGGCGTCTTTATGTTTCTTTTGAATATAAGAAGGCCGAAAAAAAAAAAAGAAAAAAGAACTAAAGAGAGAAAAACGACAAAGAAGAAAAAATAAAGAATTAGAGAGGGCATAATGGCATAAAAACTACCTTAAAATGTCGAGATAAACCTAACTCTAACAGGAGGCTGAATGAATGGACGTTGTGGGAAAAACAGTAGTAAACTCTAAAGCCACTGAAAGGTTTTAAATGCCTAAGGGAAAAATAAACATTTGCTTCTAATCATTTTCTCATTAAGTATTCTCTGCTAGATGGCGAAGGCTTACTTAACACACATGCTAGCGCGCGCGCGCGCGCGCGCCACACACACACACACACACACACACACACACACATCCTTTGACTCAGCGCCACAAATGCCTACTTAACCCACTGTCTGATTCCTATCCTGGACGGCCCACTTGCGCATCTGCTATTGCACTTTGGCCGGGGCTTATGCGCCCCAGACTCCCCACTGCGCGGGAGCATCACCTCTCCCGGCCCTGCTCTAGACCTTGGCCATCTCTGTGGCAGGAAGGGCTACATGCACTGACAGATTTTCCGTTAATGGTGGCTGAGGTGGTGGCGAGGCGTGTTTCCGGGCGCACTTAAAAGCTGCTCTCCCCAACAAGCAGCAGCTCCCCCAGCTCCGCCCCCAAGACTGAGGACCCAGCCCTCTGTTTTTCCTCTCTCCACCCGGACCTACCCCACCATCACCTCCTAACCTCTCCAGTAAACTCTCACAAGCCTCATACCAGCGCACGTCCTCCCTTTGCATTTCCCAGCTCCCGGGCGCCCCGCTTGGTTGAAGTTTATGTATCTCGGAACCTAATCGCTCCCAATTATCCGCGCAGCTTAGGTCTCAACTCTGCCTGCCTGGCTCCCGCCTTTGGTGCCTAATGCTGCCGGACAGCTCTCTGGGTGTTCTCGGAGAGAAGGTTCAGTCTGTAGAGGTGGGAGAGGTGGGGCTGAGGGTGGTGGAAGGCTCTGTGAGGAAGATCATAAACACGTGCAAAGAAATAAAAGCCACCACGTGTGCGCGCGAGTGTGTGTGTGTGTGTGTGTGTGTGTGCACGCGCGCGCGCCGAGCCAGGGCGTGGGCGCAGAGCGCGTCCCAGGGGGCCAGGCACATCAGCCCCCGAAGCGGGCGTGGCGGGGGGCGCGTGGGGGCGCGGGTACTCACACGAACGCGTGGTATATGAACGCCCAGCCGCGGGGTCTCTCCAGCACGTTGTACAGGTAGTTCTGCACCCTCCGGTACTTGACGTTGCGCCGGCAGCTCTGGCTACTGGTGTACGAGAGCGGTTTCCCCAGCAGGCTCATCCGGGCCCCCTGCTTGCCCCGGCGGCTCTCCCTCAGGCCGCCGCTGCCGCCGCCGCCGCCGCCGAGCGCGGCCGCGCGGGTGCCCAACAGTAGCAGGCCGTCGCCCCTGGCGGCCGCCGAGTTCAGCAGCACCCTGCCCCTGCCCTACTCCACATCCTTCATGCCGCTGCCCAGGCGCCCCCCGCCCGCCGCCGACGCCGCCGCTCCGCTCTTCACCCAGAGCCCGGCGGCGCCGCCCTCCTCTCCTCCCGCGT